ATTTACAAAGTCATAAAGACAATAGTTTTCAAAATATACTTGATATTATTATTGAAAAGGTTTAAGAAATAAAGGCTTTAATTTTGTTATTTTATAATGTTATTATACAATTAAATATGATAATAATCAGTGGTCGGAACTAGCGCGCTACAAGTAGTGAAACTACTGTAGTCGGTACTTTTTTCGTAGTTTATAGCGTAGAGTGTTTTAAAAAAAAGTAGTGTAGTGTGTAGTGCGATACAAAAAAATAACAGTACATAGTTTGTAGTAATTTGTTATAGTTTAGTAACGAAACACGACTCGAACACAACTAAATCTTCGAATTTGATGGGTACAAACCTTCGTGTGTCCGTCAGTGGATGCAATGAAAATGACCCTGTGGCTGAAACTGACCGTTAACAGGAATGACGTATTGAGAATCACGTATAACTATCATTCAAACTAGCCATTACGAAAAATAATTAACTAATCACTTTGATCACGCTTTCACATACGAAGGTACATTGACGTTATTTCAAAGGAAGGGGAACATATCTTCGATGTAGTTAATTTCTTAGAAGAAATAAATGAGCTATAAACAATAAAAAAATTTCAAACACATGATATTTTCGTACTTTTTCAAATTAAATATTCGCTATCGAGAAAGCCATAGAAAGTTGAAGGTAAAACGAACACATTTGGAAAGAAAAAAATTTGGAATAAAAACTGGCTCATGTAAGCATAAATAAATTTTTCTTAATTATTCCCTTATATTTAATGTAAGCCAATTTCTAAGTCAAAAGCTTTTTGAACATTTTCCAGCAAAATTCGTCTCCTTAAAATAGTGAAGTAGTTACTACAATTCCAAAGTAGTTTGCAGTCACTACATTAAAAAAAAAGTAGTTGTAGTTAACTACATTTGTAACAAAGTTGTTGTAGTTGTAGTAATCTACAAAAACAATGTAGTTTTTCTGACCTCTCGTCGAAATAAACGCGTGTGTTTTCCGTTGTTTTCTTTTCGATTTAAACGCATATCATTGTTATATTTTTCACTAGAAAGGTTATAGTTTTAATTGTTTATTTGAGTAAAAATCTTTCTTTTTTTCATTTTTATCTGATTTGATAAGAAGGAAAAGAAAATAATAAATCTTTCAATTAAAATCGAAAGTAGATGAGAAATGAGAGTTCTACGCCACGGATCCACGGATCCGAGGAATCTGTAGGGGGCGTGGTCGAATGCGGGATCCGTAAGGGCTCGNATGACCATATTAAAATATATTTTAGAAAAAATGGCACGTTGGTGCATGAAGGTTCGCCACCCCTGACTTAGTATTTACTAAAAAGATGTAATTTTTTTTTTAAAAAAAGTTTTTATATGGATTTGAATGATTGTTTTGAATTCTTAGAATTTTGTGCATTTGCAAAGTAGCTAAGCTAGTAGCAAGCGAAGCGAGCTTGGTTTGCGAAGCAAACCATATAAGATTGCGTAGCAATTTTCGGGGGTTGGCGAGCGTCAGCGAGCAGGGGGCGCAGCCTACTAGTATATGATAATTTCGTACTTTTTTAAATTAATTATTCGCTATCGAGAAAGCAATAGAAAGTTGATGGTAAAACGAACACATTCGAAAAAAGGAAATGCTTTGGAATAAAAACTGGCTCATGTAAACGGAAATAAATATTTCTTAATTATTCCCTTATATTTAACGTAAGCCAATTTCTAAGTCAAAATCTTTTTGAACATAAGTGAAAATTAAGTTTTCCAGTAAAATTCGTCTCCTTAAAATAGTGAAGTAGTTACTACAATTCCAAAGCAGTCTGTAGTCACTACATTAAAAAAATTGGTTGTAGTTAACTACATTTGTAACAAAGTTGTTGTAGTTGTAGTAATCTACAAAAACAATGTAGTTTTTCTGACCACTCGTCGAACTAAGCGTGTGTGTTTTCCGTTGTTTTCTTTTCGATTTAAACACATGTCATTGCCATATTTTTCACTAGAAAGATTATAGTTTTAATTGTTTATTTGAGAAGAAAATCTTTTTTTTTTCATTTTTATCTGATTTGATAAGAAGGAAAAGAAAATAATAAATATTTCAATTAAAATCGAATGTATATAATATAAAATATAAATGTTGCTATGGAAACAGAACATTAACCAACCATACGGAATTGTTTTTCCTCTTAAATGTAAAAAATGGTAGCAAACTCGTTTAATTGGTTAAATTTACTTTGCAGAAATCAGATCATGCTCATCAATAATCAGTAAATTAATTAGATAAGCTAATTAGCATGTGTACTAATGTATAAAAATAAAGTAATATATATTTTTAAAAAAGTAGCTGTAGTTAACTACAAAAATACTGTATTTTTTCCGACCACTGATAATAATGTTAATAAACTTTATTATCAGTGTCCTCCTTAGGAACTTTTCTAATTCATTAGATCTGCTTTTGCTATCGTCATAAATGTTTACATTTAATTAGTACTAAACTATCATCCTCAAAAACAGTAATTGTCGTTGTGAATTATGTATTCTTTTCAACGGTTTCAATTATGCATGAAAATATCTCAGGTAAAAATTTACATAATTTTCTACCCAAAATAAACAAACAGGATGCTTGAGCACTTGAATTTAGCCTAAACATCCATTCATTTCTTATTTCTCGGATATGCCCAAACATCATTTTTAATAACAGGAACTATAAAAGCCACATAATCGGGAATTTTTTGGAAGCAATAGCGAGATGTTTGCTTAAAACCATAGATGAACCCTATAATTTAAATCATTTCCATGGTTGGTTGCGGTTTCAATGAGTACTCTGCCTGACGAAAGGTTTAGAAAAACAAACTAATATTTTGTTTTGAGGGAGAAACCATTTTTAACGATTCAAGAATTACATTTCATTTGTGGTTACACGTCATTGTCACAAAATTAGTGTCATTTACTCAAGTGATAGTCATTTCCTCTTTCTCTGTGTTTATTATTAAACCACTTAAGTTTGTACTTCGATATTCTTTATCCAATGAGACATGTCTAAAAATCAATAGAAATTTATTTTTAGCTTTGTATTCTACAAGAAAAAGTTTAATAAATTGATAACAAAGAATCATTAATGCTTTATTTAATTGTGGTTTGCTGTATAGTCCCCTAAATCTAACATAGTTTGCGATAATTGACCTCTTTTAAATTACTACCATCTTCTCACACTTAACTACTAAAATTGCTGATTTGACGTGCATCAGCCAGTTAATAAAAGTACTATTCAAGATGTTCACTTTGGACACCCTCTGTCATATACAAGGGGTGGACAAAATAATGGAAACACTTTTATACTAATACATTTTCTCACATTTCTCCCGAAATACTCAACTAAATATTTTATAACTGCAAAAGTGTTTAGCATGCGATTTCTCATACGTCAATGAAGATTAAAACTTCTAGAGGCTTGAAGGACCAGCTATAAATTACAAACCGAAAATAATTTTTTTGAACACCCTATGCCAAAAAAATGTCGCAATAGGTTTTAAACTTGTAACAATTATTTGGGTTATTATATGCAATGATTACACAAAATTACATAAATATTAAGCCTAGCTTAAATATTCACGGAGATATGGACATTCTTATAAAAATATTTTGAATGGATATTTTTAAAAAAATTTTAATTTTTCCAACGCAAGCACAGTATGAAAGAACTAGTTTAATTACTCATATCTTGTGTAGTTTTCAAACGAATTTTCTCAAATTTCAAAGCAGATAGTTCATAATTAATTTTAAATATCACAAAACATTTCGTTTAATATTATTGAAAATTTTAAACTTATAGTAAAAAAGCGTAAAATAAAAAATAAAAAAAAATAATAAGTCTTTTTGTAAAAATATCCATTTCTCCACAAATATTTAAGTTAGATTTACGAAATTTTGTGTAATTATTGCATATAATAAATAAAATAACTGTCACAAGTGCTACAAATACATTGCTACATTTTTCATCAAATATATATATATATATACGAAAAGGAAAACAACACGAAGAAAATTAAGAAAAACAATAAGTTTTATTTACTGGGCATAAGCTGCAAGTAAATAGAACTCATAAAATAAGTTCAAAATGTAGAGAAAACATGGAAAAAATTACAGAACAATGAAAAAAGGGGGGGAAAGAAAAATAATAATAAAAATAACAAGAAACTGGGAGGGAATGAATAAAAATCTGGAATATTAATTTTTTATATATTCATTTTTTCCTTTTTTTCTTGTTATTTTTATTATAATTTTTCTTAATTTTCTTCGTGTTTTTTTCCTTTTCGTATTTATTTATTATGCTATTTATTACGTACTTATTTATTATGCTTTACATAATATGAAGCCACTCTATGAGATGAACCGGGTTCGAATCCCGGTGACGGCTGATCNACGACAGTAACTCTCTATTTAAATTTAAGTACTAGAAGGTTAGCATAAGTTTAAAAACAACAAGGTGTGTGTGTGTGTGTGTATATTCAAATAAATCTAAGATAGATATAGATACAAAACAGACTGGGAAAAATTTTATCCCTGCAAGTAATTCTCACATCATGATGTTCATCATTTCTAGGAATATATGCGGCTACTTCCTTTGTAAGAAAATATTTAGTTAGGTTGGACACGGCTTCTAGAGGTCCGCACTTTTTATTTAGTTGCTAGTTCTTTGAGTTATTCCACGGAATATAATTTATGTAAACGCTCCCTTTGCCGGATATGCACGAGACGGACATATTCTGAGTCGCCTGACCAGATGCATTTCTGGAAAGACACCCACGTGAAGGTGGGTCAATCCGGAAGCTTGGAAATGCGTGAAACACGAAAAAAGAATGTGCCGAATGTTTGCTGATATAAGCTATCTCTTATGACAAAGCTGCGGTCAATCCGTTGAAAATAGCTTTGCAACGATTTTTGTCACAAGTAAATTATCGTTTTAGTGATCTTCTTTTCGAATAAAGTGACTAAATCGGTATTTAAACGGCAGAAGACCACCTTTGAGATTCTAAATAGCAAAAGCTAAGGAAGATATGTTTGGAATTCGACTTATTTTTTCAGTGTAATTGTTTGCTCTAACTCATATGTTTAAAGTGGAAGTATTTGAGGTAAAAATCATTTCTATCGTTTTATCCCTTTGAGGTAATACTTGAAAATTACATTAGATTGTCGCAAATTTATAACTTTTAAAGTAATAGTGTAAATAGAGCTTACTCCAAAAGGAATCTACTTTGATATTACACATTATTTTTAATAATAATGTTCAAATAGTCTGAAAATACCTATCGAAGACAAATATAAAAACATGCTCCTTTATTATGAAAATTTTTAGTGGGTAAACTATGGTGAATGTTTTGCAGTTTTTAAATCAATATTTTCTAATTCTCGAGTTGAAACTGAAAATGTGTGTAAAAAACATCCTAAAACCTTTTCATATTCTTAAAGGAATATTTTTAAAAGTATTTTATTTTTAATTTGGCACAAGACGTGCTTATAGTTTATTCTGAAATAAACTTTATTTGATACTTAAAAAATATTTATCTTTATTGTTCAAATTTTTTCAATTGTTTTCAAGTGTAGTCGAAAGTTGTGTCTGAAAATACATGGTTTCAAAAATAAAAGAATAAAGCATCTTTAAAAACAACTTAGCAATTTAAAAAATTTCTTAACATTGAATTCAAGTAACTAAAAAAAACTTCATAACTCAATCACTAAATAATCACTACTAACCATTAAACTTGTTACTAAATAGCCCCTCTTTTGGCAATAAAAATTAAAATAAAAAATTACCCAAGATGTTCCTGGAAAAACATCCCCCACAAAGTAAATTATAATAATAATAATGAATAGTTTCCTAAATGATTTTTTTCGTTATTTTTTTTTCCTTCATTCACTTGCTGTTCTCGACTTCATCTTCATTTAAGTTAAGCATAAGTCATTTGTTTTGAAATACAGTCATTAAAATACATTTTAATCTTTTACTTGTAAGAACGCCATCGTCTCTCTCTATGTTACAAAAAAGAATTATTACTGCTGCCGCCGCCGTCACTGTTACGGAATTTGTTTGATGATTGCGTTTTTTGTAGATAAGTGTTCAATTGCAAGCAGGAGGTGGAGCTCCCTTGTAATTAAAACGAATTAGTAATTAAAACGAATTGTAATAATAACTAATTCCAATTTAATTACTCAATCTTAAATAAATTAAAAAAAAAAAACAATTTCATTTCTGAATTTGGAATAAAAATACAAATCAAGGCTGAACGCATTTATGATTTCGTTTAAAATTTTGTGCTAAATGTAAATTAGTGTATTTTGCCAAATGTAAAGCAATGCAGATTAGTGCCCTTCGTTGACCTTTAATCACAATAAGAAAAACATAATTTAATGATAAGATGAAATGCAATGATTTCATCGCTTGCTGTCGTCTTTGTAATTAAATTATACTTATGGCACCATCTATCGGTAAAATGACTAATAATTAATTTTTAATGTCATGATTTAATTTTGAAGGCAGGGCCTTACGTTCGCTCGGACTTTACTTGGAATTGTGTACGGAGTCCAACGAGGCACTAAATGTCTTGATATTAATATTTATTTTCACCAGTACTTTTTCCCTCAACTTTAATCAATTTTTTTATGTGCATATTTTTACGTTCAGTAAAGCATTATTATTTTGATGAAATTAATTTAATGAAAATAAATCTCTTAATTTCTGTACACAAGTCAATATTTATATAAATAATATAATTAGAATAATAATAATTAAAATTAATAAGAGTATTTTTTCCCTCAACTGATTAATCAATTTTTGATAACATATTTTTACGATTAGTAAAGCATTATTAGTTTGATAAAATTAATTTAATAAAAAGAAAGCTTTTAATTTCTATACATACGTTAATATTTATATGAATAATATAATTAGAATAATAATAATTGAAATAAACAACTGTATTTTTTTTTCAACTGATTAATAAATTTTTGATAACATATTTCTACTATTAGTAAAGCATTATTAGTTTGATAAAACTAATTTAATGAAAAGAAATCTTCTAATTTCTATAGATACGTTAACATTTGTATGAATAAGGTAATTGGAATAATAATAATTAGAATTAATAACAGTTTTTTTTCTCTACTGATTAATCAGTTTTTGATGCGCATATTTTAACGTTTAGTAAAGCATTATTAGTTTTACAACATTTATTTAATAAAAAGAAATCTTTTAATTTCTATGTATGCGTTAATATTTACATGGATAATATAATTATAGAATAATAATAATTAAAATTAATAATAGTATTTTTTTCTCAACTGTTTACTAAATTTTTTGTAATCATACTTTTACATTTTACGTTAAGTGAAAAATAATTAGTTTGAAAAAATTAATTTAATGAAAAAAAAATCTTTTAATTTCTATGCATACGTTAATAGTTACATGAATAATATAAATGTATAGAATTCGTATAGAATATTTTCAAAAAATACTGTTCGTATTCTATTAAAGATTCTTGCAGGAAAAGTTGATATTTTAAAAATTTACGCCTGATTAGAAATTTTTAAGAAACAAGTGTGATTTCTTTTAATTAAGACGTTTTACATTTTAAAATATGCCATTCATATCATTTAAAAATTGCACGTTTCTAAAGGGGGCACTGAATCGAAATTTAGGCCTTGGTCCCAAGTTTAAAGATAACTATTTTTGCGTTAATATTGAAATGAAGAAGGTTGTTAGAAAAATAAATGTAAGTTTCTGAGGTATTTTACGCATTTACATTTTATTATTTTTGCCAAATAATTTATAAGAATTTTATATTACAAATTTTGCTTGTTTTCAAATTCTTTATTTAAGATTTATTTATTTCAAATGAAAATTAAGCAGTGTTTAGCAGTGATTTTTTTTATTTATTTGGAACAAATTAATAAAATCCTATTCAGAAAAATTTGTCTTAACTTAATAATTCTGAAAGTAATAATACCAAACTGAAGTGTTTTAAGTGTTGAGCAATTGTTGTAATAAATATCCTCGTGAATGATACCTTTTAATTAAACTGAATTTTCACTAGGTTAAAAAACATTATATTGGGTAAAAATAATATTTCTAATAAGTTTATCTTAACAAAATAAAGAAGTGTAAAAATCAAATTAAAACCATCATCTTTTCTTCGAGAATAACTTTCCATAGTGAAATTTGTAATTATTTATTTTCACTAATTCTAATTTGAACTAAATTGAAATAAAATAAAAGACGATAAAGTGTAAAATAATTTATGTGCTCCTTCTCATAGAATTATAAAAACGATAACATCAAATTAAACTTTCATTTTTCCATTAAAGACGATGTTCCATACTGAGATTTGTAATCACTTATTCTTACTTTAATTATAGCTAAAAAATTTGGATACCTTTACAATACGTACTGTTAATATTCATGACAATTTCCGCATTTTCAGTTAGTTGATTGAATGCACAGGTTGCACCGGTATTGCAATTGTTGGTAAGCATTTCTCGAAGGATTGAGATTTACGACACGATTTTCTCCTTTTTTTAAAAAAACTTATTATTTCATAATTGATAGTTCTAAAATGTATGAACATTTCTAACTTACCATTATATTCTCATTGTTAAATTGTTTCTAATGACACTTGTACAAACCAAATTCACCATCCATTTACCTTTGCAATTTAAGAAAAAAAGGAGCGCCATTTGTTTGACAAAAAAAGCACGGCTAGGGTGAAAGAACGACTTAGCCCAGAACCCCCAGAATAAATGGCAGCACAACCTGTAATTAAAACCTGTAAGGTGCTAAACACTATAGCTCCACATAAGCAGTGTGCCTCATTGATCTGAAGTTAAGTAATCACAAAGCCACTATAGGGGATCGAGATCGAACCCGGTCTTACACAATAACAGCTCAGTTACATAACAACAGCATCATCACAGCTTGCCGTCCATTCTACAACCTCCGAGGTGTATTTTAGGTGGAGAAATAGAGCTTGATAACTTTTAGAATTTCTAAAGACCTTTTCTCAAAAATGTATAAATTATGCTGTTAGTAATTTTAGACAGGTAATTTGATAGTGAACGTATGTCTGTGTTAATAAATTTTCTAATATTATTTTGTTATTAGTTATACTGATGACAACCAATTTGAATGACGGTGAAATTTTTTTTTTAACTTAAATTACGCTAAAACAAAGATGTTTATCAAAACTATTTCAACAGACAAATTTATGATACTTAACTACCTTTCAAAAATGCCAATTACGGAATGATATTTAGATAATTTGTCAGAAAAAATCAATCAGGATTCTAAAATAACACCATCTACATTTTTCTCAGTGGATAATAATCGATGGATTGCTATTTAAAAGACAATCTTGAAGTTAATATGTTTTGAAAAATATAGACCAGGAGATTAAATATCAAACATCAGTTTATTTGTGAAAATTAAATGAAAATAATTCAAATAATTCATTAATTTCTCCCCTCCACAGTTATATTTAGTCGAGAAAATAATAATTAGCAGTTTAGAGGAAAAAACATTTCAAGAGAGTAATTTGAAAATAGCAATCGAGATGCCTGTTTCAGATGCCTGATAGCATAATAAGACGTAAAATATTATTCCTACCGCAACTTTAAGAACTAACGATTCTAAGAATTTGTAGAAAACTTATAAAACAAAACTGTTAAAAAAAAAAAATTTTTTTTTTCAAGTATAGAAATGTTGATGGAAAAAAAATTGAAAATGGAATTCTGAAAATCGATAAAACGAAACTGTTAAACAGATCTTTTTTAAAAAAATGTAGAAATGTTGATGGGAAAAAATTGAAAAGGGAATTCTGAAAACTCATAAAACACAGCTGTTAAACAGAATTTTTAAAGTATTAAGAGAAAAAAATTTAATTTTGAAAACTGAGGGACAAAAAACTGTTGAAAAAATTTTTTAAAGTATAGAAACATTTATGAAAAAAAAAAAGCATTCATAAGGAAAAAAATTCAAAAGAAAAACTTCAAAACAGAAATAAAATATAAGATATTAATGACAAATACACATCTCACAATTCGACTGTTGCTTTGTAACAGTATTTTGTTGGTGACGCGTTGT